GCTTTAACTTATATTCAGACAAATTTTCCGTATTCATTAATATGTCATTAACTAGCATAATCGTCAAAGATTGCGTTTAGATTTGATGTAAATAATCGAATTTAAAAGGTAATTGAGTAATTTTAATAATTTCCTTAATATTTAATTATAATAACCGGGTATTAGTTTCATAAAGCTTAAGCACCATAAATTATAATAGAATACCGTTGCTTCTTCATTAATGGTACTATAATTTGTCGCACAAATTGGTAGATAATTAGACAAATAACCACCACTGAGTTTGATGAACGTGTCCTAAAGACGACTAACTTATGCTCTTAGTGTTAAGGGTGTTATAACGATTAGTATTCATATCGAATACGTTAGCCGGTATAAAAAATAATTGTCTAATAACAGCTTTTACACTGAAGCGTAAGCTGTACTATAAATAAATGCAAGGTGCAGGCAGTGTGTTTTATAGAGGTATATGCCGGTAAAACAGAATTCAAAGGATATCGGCACACCTTCCATTCTGTAGTCTTCAACTAGAACACTAAACCCTTATAAATCCTGAATACATTATAATTAGTAAATCGATATTAACTCTGGTATATCAATCTATGGATGGGTTTATAAAGCCAGTTTGTGCGTATTGTAAAACATTCTTAATTAAGTAATCATTAAAAAAATAATTTAAGGGAAAGGGAAAACGGCCAAGCTACAGAATGCCCTCTCGTTTCCAGAAGGTGACTAGGATGTTTTTACTTTTATGGAATAAATTTGTTCTTGTTTATAAGATTTAATCAAAAGATACAAGCTTAATAGTTAAAAAAGTATTCCATTACTTAGAAACGTACAAAAAAGTTTGCAAGAATAGGGAATTATTAAGTGAGAAGAAAAGAGGTAGCATTATTTTTTTAACGATATTCGTGATGTATATAATTAATAATAATAAATATTTTTCGGAATGGACTAAATAGGTTTTCAACAATACTCGAAAGTTGGTAAAAATTACCATCTCCAGTTGGAAACTTTCTTTGTTCGCTTTGATAGTTATGGATAGTTGTTTCCTTCATGAATCATATTTTTATCTTAATATCTCAATGCTTTTAAGTTGAAATCAGACATTAGGTAGGCAGTCGTATTATAATTTTTCACCCTTGTTTCTACATCAGAGTATAGCTAATCCACAACGGAAATGAATTTTATAAAAGAACCTTAATAGGATTAGGCAGACCTTCAAAATGCTGTTCAGCCAACAATTTTCTCTATTGACCCAATAATATAGCTTTATCAATACTTATTAAGGCAAAGCGCCAGCCAACATAAATCAAATATTTTTGGAGAATAAAGTGTAGACAATAAGATGGATAAATTGAAGCCTAAAATTCATCGTTTTACATTCATCGTTGTTCCTAATTTAGACAATATAAGCAAAAGTAGAGACGTATACGAATGAATAGGACATTCAACTTTTTGACATACTAGTAATACTATTATAAACCTTTTTGTACCAATAGTTTAACAGGCTTCTATTAGATTTATTAATTTCTATTTATCAAATTCATGAAAATCGTTTTTTGTCCGGTAATTACGAAGAAGGACAAATCAAACTCATCCCATTGTGGGACCATAGGGTGAATGCATCCCATGTATATAGCGAAACATAACTGAACACTTAATTTACGATAACATACTTTTGGCCTAGCAGCCCTATCGTTCTTGCCTTATACCACTATTCATACTTATATTTATATTACTTGACTCATTGAACAATATACTATAAGGGCTTAAACTAAATAAAATTATAAAATCAACTAGGAGTAATTAGTAAGTGATGAATCCATTTGCTATAATTTAACTCTTTATATCTGTCGAACAAAATGTCTATTAAAAGTTAGTTAGCATTTGCAACTGGCTTAATTAACTGAAGGGACAGCATAATCGCAAACCATAAAAATAAGTAAAGCTCCCATTTGTTTTTCTTCTTGCCTACCTTAGAGAATACGCAGTCAATTCAAAAATAATTTGCACGGTTATAAAATAACGCTAAATAGAATAACTTTGACTAATTTTAGACTTAATTTTGCCCAAAGGGCATTAATAAAAATTTTCTAAATTTCGTTTAGCGAATTCTACCTACGGCTAAATTAAGATATTTAAAAACGGTATTATTCAGGCAGCTAGAACTTTAACGTATTGCATTAATCAAGAACCTAAATAAGAATGAAGATTTTGTTAGACGATTTTAAATAAAAGAATTTCCTTAAAACGCACCTTGAATATTTCTAAGAATAAGGCCTTATTAAATTGTATGTATAGCCAAACAGCGTGGGGTTTTTTAAGGCAGACCTTCCAATAAGGATTAGATCAGGGCTCAAAAAAGCTTCCTTCGTTAAAAAGTAATATAAATATTTTTAATTTTCAGTATTATTCGCTATAATATATGCAAAGGAAAAGTTGGGAATGTCTTATATTACAATTAAAAAACAAGTGATTACTTGAT